TCTTCTCCATTGCTGAGTGCAGCAACAATGTATCCCTAAATCTTGGGATAATGTTCACATCAAGAAATTAATTTGCTCAGCTTGATACTTACACTATAATTTGCTGATTGATTCTCTGTGGGGTACAGTCAATAAATACTTACAGCATTGTTCAAAATAAGTTTCTTACCACAATATCTCAAGGGAATAAATATGAATTGGAGTTTGTCAGCTGAAAGAAAGATGTAGAACAGCAGAATAGTAATTACAGGAACAAGTTAAGGTTTACACTAAAGTGTTATTTGAAAATATTTTAACATGGAGATAAATTACATTGTTTTACAAGACAGAAAGAAACATAAACTTTAAAGTAGCATTAAAGTCGAAAGGGTTTTACAATGGATGCTGCTTCTTGATGTTTAAAAGTTTTGTCTTCCTGCAGAATCAGCTGGTCCCTTGAGCACTGGTCCTGATATCCTGTTTAGGGTGGCCCCTTTCCCTTGCAGGGCCCTATGGAGACATCCTTGTGTGTGCTAGTGTCAGGGTTCCACCCTGACTTAACTGGTTTGCAGCACTCTGACTTGGCTACCATTTCACCCACCTGTGATTCCTCTGAGCAGGCTGTTTAACGTTGCTCACTACTCCCAGGCTCCCTTTTATGGCCAAACAGGGAGAGTCATCTGAGAGAGTCGGATGGGAGTTTCCTGTCTCTGAGTGATGATGACACCCCACTCACTATATAAACCACTCAGTCCAGTCTGACCTTGCCCTTGGGTGGTCTTTCCTGCTAGTGCATTCCTGCTGCTCAGTGTATCCTGATTCTGTGTATGACCTGATCTTGGCTGACGTTCTCTGCTGGTTCCTGGCTTGTTCTTGACTACGCTGATTTCCGTGTTCCTGACCTGGCTTGTATGACTGCCCACTCTGGCTCCTGTTTATGATCTTTGCTTGCTCCTGTGGACACCTTTCTTAATAAATATTTTAACTAGCACCTTATGCTTCTCTGGTTTTCATTGTGCTCTGACAGCTAGTAAGATTTGTGTGTATCCACAAATACACAGGCACAGCAGGATGAATCTTTCCCCTGCCCCCTGCACCACTTCCTGCCTTCCCCAACTAGTAGATGGGCATCTGCTGGAGTCTGTGATCACTTGTGATCTTGTACTGGACAGGAGGTTCAGGGAAGCTGAGCGGAGAGAATTGGAGCTGTTCAGAAACATGATAACCGCAAGTGCTTGGAATAGAAAATGGAAGGAAGCACTTTGCTGAGCAATGTATATTTGTTTGAATTTAATGGATTATTGAAAAAAGTTTTACAGTTTAATAATACTTTAAAGGGGACTTGTACTGTGGGGGTTCTACAATATAGGCAAGCAGAGGACAAAGGACTAGTCAGTATTGAGCTTTTCCCCATTACTGATTTACCATGCCTTGCTCTGCACTATGTGTCTGTGGGGAGTTGGCCATCTTGGTGGAGGCAGGGCTTTGTTTCCTCATGTCATAAATGCCCCCTTATTGGTGAATTGATGACTGGTGGGAGAATATTGAAAAAGCAGCAAGAGAGGTTGAGAAAGCATAGATCCATAGAATGGATGAAGGGATATGCTTATCTGCAACTCTTCATGTGCATATTCCTGTCCTGCAAGGAGAACGGTGAACAGCACAGTAGTGACATAACCAAATCTCTTTTATATAAATAACAGGTTCAGTTTAATAAAGTGGTGCTCCATTGCAGCGCAAACAGATTTTCCTTTGTGCATAAGTTAAGAAGATTACAAGCCTAAGACAATATGTTAACATGTACATACATTTCAGACATGCAGACAACTGCTGTCACAGTGCAACAATGCAGAAGAATAGATACGAAGATGTATTGTGGTTGCTTGTCACTACCTCTAGTTTATTTATTTTTTTCCTTAACCATCATACTTGATTTTACCAATCGGATAATAACGATCTGCATATCCATTATTATAGTTTTCGTTGCTTTAACAAAAGTTCCCTAGCAAGGATGGAATGATTTCCTGCATGCTACTTCCTGTATCCATGGTAACCTTTTGCATCCTGTCCGTCTCCATGAACCAATAGGGAGTAAAGCATTTCCTGCATAACAGTTCAGTGTTTCCTTAAAAAAAAACCAAAAAAAAAAAAAACCACACAGATCACGAGCTGATAACTGTCACCATAACTGACTTTCTTCCAGGCGGTATCAACTATGTAAAAACATATCTGCTAAATTGTTTCTAAAATGACAGTCCTTCTTGGGGTAAGACAACTTTTCTGTTTTACTTTCATGGCAACATGGTCTGTGTGAACGTTTGTAAGATACATAGTAAAAGAGTAGGCAGGGAACTTTCTACTAATAAAGTTCTACTAATATTTTCTGCAGTTGGAAATATCTAAGAGAGTCATTCTGCTCAGTGTAAAATGCATTACCTTTAACACAGTGTACGGAATTACTGCAACAATGCTCATTGCCAGCCTTAAGTTTACTGAGCTCTGAATTCTGTTTGTTATTAGTAGTAGGATATTGTCTAAAATCTATTTATTTCAGCTTTAGGTAAAAAATCATTAAATAAATGACATACATGTTAATAAAGAAAATGTTAATATTGCAAAAATATCTAAAGTATATAAATAAAAAAATTAGGACAGGGATATCAACACTGCACAGGATTCCTAAAATAGAGTTGGAAAACAAAAAACTGCATTCGTAGCGTCCCTCTTCTCGTTAATGTTCTAAAGCATTTTTGTTAATATTCTATTGTCTATTTTATTCAGTCATTTTAGCTAATTTATGCTGCTCATTATAAGATGTTTTATTTTGTTCATTAATATTAGATAATGTATGTTTTTTGTTAATATTAGATCGTTAGTTCATATCTCTGCCTGGCGTTAAAAATCTATGATTTTTTGGCTTCAGACAAAAGCATTCCAATCTAAGTTGGAAATGCAGAAGGCAAGAAAGTAATTGGCTAATTATTTTAAAAGTGATCCTGAATGTGCTCCATGTAAAGCGCTGCATAAATTGTCGGCTCTATATAAATAACTGTAATAAATTAATGATGCTTTGCGCAAGAGCTGCAATTAACACAGTAGAAAGAATTACCTTCATTTTTATGTTCCATTTATTCTTTATGCTATGCTCACCTCTCTAGGTTTTTTTTAATCATCTGTCACTGGAGTTTCAAGCCCAACAGTAACCCTCTTTTCATACTGTGTTCAAGATACTTTGTCTCTCATGGCTATTATTACAGGCCTATTTATTATTAGTAACAAATATACCCCTGTTAATTAAAGTTAAAAAAAACTGTTAAGTATCCAGAGATCAGTTTTTATTTTTTTGACTATTTCTAGTTGCAGTTTACATATTTTCTGTGCTGTTATTGAAATTGAACTCCAAATAGCATTTGTTTTAGTTATATATAGAAGAAAATGGTTAAAACCTCTGTCCCGTGTCTACTAGGGAGCTTTTCCATAATTTCCTGTCCCGATCAACACAAAGAAATTGAGGGGAAATCTCTCCAACAGGGACACCGACTGTTAAAACAACATGTGTTTTTAGCAGAATGGGGAAGTTAGAACCAGCTGTGTATCCTGATGTGAGGATTTATCTGACTTTGTTTATGGACATTGGGGAACAGTAATAAGACAGAGGTTGTCACCTTCATCCTTCCTTACTCTTGGTCGGACTTTAAATTAGCCAGTTAATGTAAGGGGCTGCATTTAACTGAAATAACATTGAAAGTATAGTATATGTCTAGTGGGCACATTTTGAGTTAATAATGTATTGCTTATTTTGGAGCCATTATAGACTTATAATAGGTTGGCTGTTAAGATATTAGCCACACGGAGTGCATTGTTTTAATTAAGTCAGCTTACTCAAAGACTTGCAGTGTGAGTAGGGGAAGTAAAGCACAACCACGGAGTAGTACTGCAATGCATGAATCAATCTTTGCACATGTAAGGAGCAAATATGGCTTCCCTATATACATAAATGACTGTAAACTATACATTGAGACAGCAGTTTAAAAACAAATAAGCATGTACTAGTAATATATTTTACACTAAGTTTAATCTTTTGTAAAAATAAGCACATTAATTTTACAATACAAAAGTGAATCTTGTTTTTTTTTTTAAATATATCTAAAAAAATAGAAACTTAATTTTGAAAGGATAACTCCACTTTCCCAGGCAGATTTGGGAAAATGGATTTACCCCCAACAACCTGCCCCTCACCCCCCACCCCGCT